TTTGCCAAAGGATGCTAAAATTTTGCACAGTTTCAGACATGGAAGACTATGAAAATCTTGGAAACTATGTCTCAGGAAGACCCTAAGCTGAAAAAAATGTGTACTGGTTCTGGAAAAGTGTCTCGCCTGCTTGCCCTGTTCGTACTTTTCTCTAGATACTCTCTAACAGCCACTGCTTTGGAGATGTGTTAAAAAATGTGTTCTTTCCTACTTACTTCCTCTTGCTAAAATTCTAACATTAGTAGGAAATGAAAGAGGTTAATTTTCATCAGTGACTTTCCCATTAAAAGGAATTATGTTTTTGTGTACCATGACACTCCACTGGCATCGCACACTTCTCTGAGAAAGAACTTAATTCCTTAGTATATGTATGATACATATATATGTATATGCCATATCTGTCACATATAGGGTATCTTAGTATAACTGTCACAGTATAGTTTTGAACAAAACAAAGCCAATTTTAAATCAGTCAGTAAGTGCTAGTGACTAGCACTTGCCCTATCTAGGAAGATCCAGAAATACAGATTTCCCACTGGACTACAGAGTTCCGAAATAAAAAAGCAGAAGTACAAACTATTCAATTTTGACCTTTGTGTAGTAATTAAGGACTCAAAATCCTTGGTAGCCTGCTCAGCTGTCTGTAAACAAAGAGCTTTTCCTTATAGTCACTGCATCTTTCTTGTTTCAACATATGCCTTTTGTCTCTGAAGCGCTCCCACGACACACCACCAACAGGAGCCTGGCTCTGTCATGGCAACATCCTCCTCATAGGTACTGGGACTGCTCTTAGGTGCCCCCAAAGCCGTCTCTTCTCCAGGCTGAACAAGTCTAGCTCACCCAGTCCCTTCTCACACGGCTCCTGTCCCTGACTTGGTGACTCCCCAGTGGACTTGCCCCAGCTTATTGATGTCTTTCCTGTACTGGGAAGTGGGGATAAAACTTGACACAGTAATTGCACTCAAATATTGAAGTTGTGCTTCAATGTGTGTGATACAAAAAGCAGTGGATGTCTCACTTTTTGGTAACACTTCCTTTGTTCAGAAAAAAAAAATATATGCTCTCTTCTCATTCATCCATCTTAAAACATGGCTAATAATGGAAGTTGGTTTCATATTCTGAAAGAGAACTGCTCCCAGCTAAGAGAGAGCCAAGTAGTTTAGATCTCCTAAGCCCCACTAAACAGAACAGAAAAGTTTCACTGAAGAGAAATCTGGCCCTATTGAAGTCAGCTAAAATATTGCTATTGAGTTACAGAGGAACCAGAATATGATTCCTTGCAACTTCTTCGCAACAGCTGAAGTTTCAATTAACAAAATTTTCATAAAAAGCAAAGCAACGTTCAATGCTACTGAAGTATTCCCACTATTGTCAGGTATTAGAAATGTTTGAACATACACAGGAAAGGTCAAGAGGCCAAGTAGGTAGCTACTGGTACAGTATTAATGTTTTTTGGCTTAAAAGCAAAAAACACAAAAGAAGAGTTAATTTTAAAGAATTTCTGTAGAAAGCAAGTAAGTAATATCAAACAAAAGCTGTTTGTCTTGCATGTATCTGCAGACACTGCTCCAAAGAGAGTGCAAAGTACAATAGAAAATCCTGAATAGCATCGGTAAAAGGAAAGACACTAAGTGAAGAAAACCAGAATCCATTCTGAAGAATGCTGAGGTGAAGGAGAAAAGTAGAGGGTTAATCTTAATATGCTGAAAATACAACATGTAAGAACATATTGATCTGCAAGTTCTAAAAATTGGTGGAACATGTTTGGTGAATGGAGTTAAATGGTGAATGGAGTTAAATCCAGTTGGCGGCCGGTCACGAGCGGTGTTCCCCAGGGCTCAGTTTTGGGGCCGGTCTTATTCAATATCTTTATCAATGATCTGGATGAGGGGATTGAGGGCACCCTCAGTAAGTTTGCAGACGACACCAAGTTGGGCGGGAGTGTTGATCTGCTCGAGGGTAGGAAGGCTCTGCAGAGGGACCTGGACAGGCTGGATTGATGGGCCCGAGGCCAACTGTATGAGATTCAACAAGGCTAAGTGCCGGGTCCTGCACTTCGGCCACCACAACCCCATGCAGCGCTACAGGCTTGGGGAAGAGTGGCTGGAAAGCTGCCTGGCGGAAAAGGACCTGGGGGTGTTGGTCGACAGCCAGCTGAACATGAGCCGGCAGTGTGCCCAGGTGGCCAAGAAGGCCAACGGCATCCTGGCCTGTATCAGAAATAGTGTGGCCAGCAGGAGTAGGGAAGTGATCGTGCCCCTGTACTCGGCACTGGCGAGGCCGCACCTTTGAATACTGTGTTCAGTTTTGGGCCCCTCACTACAAGAAGGACGTTGAGGAGTTGGAGCTTGTCCAGAGAAGGGCAACGAGGCTG